CTTAACTACAACAACAGCCCCAATTAACCCCTGTCACTTTCCCATAGTCCAAGGCTCCATCCACAAATCTGACCCAAATTCAAACCTACTGCCATCGAGTCAATTCTGACTCATAGCGACCCAACAGCGCAGAACAGAACTGCTCCGCAGGGTTTCTGAGACTATGAGTCTTTATTTGAACAAACAGCCTCATCTTTCTCTTGCAAAGCAGCTGGTAGGCTTGAACTGCCGACCTTACAGTTATCAGCCCAACGCTTAATTCACAGGACAGATTGGGATCCCTGTGCAATCTGACAAAGCTTCCTAAATCAAATGTCCAGGTTTCTTTCAGATGGTAGCTTTCCAAGGGGCTTCAGATTCACCGCTGGAAGCAGGTCGTACATTTTAATGATTACAGCATCTAACTGGAGAATAGCTTACAATATTTAATTGTGGAATATGTTCTTTGCACGTGGAATGCCTTTGAATAACTTAGAGTGACGCGACTTCTCTTTGCCCCATAAATCGCACCTCATCCTTATGAACCATATTACATCAAGATTTTATGTGCATGCGATGTTTGAAGTTGCACCGCGGCCGTGATAAGAGTGCACCTCAATACAGGTGCACGTCGGATCGTGGGCGTTTATCAACAGCGCAGAACGCTCTAAAGCTGCAAGATCAGGAGATTACACAGAGCTTTCAAAAAAATAAATAAATACAAAGCACAAAACAAACTGGTTCTGTTTTTACCTGCCTGGACAATTCAGCAATCACAGCTGCATCATTCTGGTCTGGTCAAGCCAATCACGCGCGCGCCGTACCACGTGACTCACGAGTGCTTCCGGCCTCGTGTTCGGCTCTGTCTCGGGTTGCCAGGGCAGGAGGTGGAGCCAGGGCACAGCTTCTCTAGCCTCACGCTCACTATTGCCCGCCCCCTTTCCCAAGCCACAACCAATAGGAGCCCGTCACTCCGCAGGGACCAATGGTGAGAAGGCTGAGTGAGGCCGTTGCGTGACGCGCAGAAGGGGAGGTGGGACTGGACGTGCGGTCACGTGCGCGCTTCGCGCCGGCGCAGGAAATCTGCCTGGAGTAGTAGGTGAGCCGTAGTCGTGGGGCCGGCGTTCGCCTCACAGAATGGGCCCGCTGGGTTCGTAGAGGCCATGTCGCCCGGGCCCCGCGCCCCGCGTTCGCGCCGGGATGGTGAACCTGGCGGCCATGGTGTGGCGCCGGCTGCTGAGAAAGCGATGGGTGCTCGCCCTGGTCTTCGGGCTCTCGCTCGTCTACTTCCTTAGCAGCACCTTGAAGCAGGTCAGTGGCCGCCCCCGTCCCGCTTGTGCTGCGAGCGCCGCGGAGGCTGGGCGCGGGGCCTCTTCTCGTCGCATCCTTGGAGGGCGTGGGGTCCGTATGACAGCAGGGACACCGAGACCCGGGCACCTAGCTCTGCCCTTCTTGCGCGGAGTTTCCGTGTCCTTCCAGCCTCCGGAGTTGTTCTTGCAGGTGGCAGTTTCTGGGAGAGAGAGCAAGGGCCTGGGTGGGAAACCCGTCTTGAGCTTTTGTAAAGGCTCAGTTGTGATGTGTGGGCGTCTTAGGTGCCATCGAGTCAGTACCGACTTATAGCGACCATGTGCACCACAGAACGAAACACTGCCCCGTCCTGTGCCAACCTCACAGTTGGTGTTACGTTTGAGCCCATTGCTGCTTGCCATTGTGCCAATCCATCTGGGGGTGGGGGTGGGGGTCCACTTCACCAAGTGTGATGTCCTTCCCCAGGGACTGTTCCCACCTGATAATATGTCCGAAGTATGAGAGACGAAGTCTGGTCCTCCTGTCCTCAAAGTAGCACTCTGACTGTATTTTTTCCAACACAGACAGATCTGTTGGTTCTTCTGGTACCCCATTGTACTTTAAATATTCTTCTCCAACTCCATAAGTCAAATACACCAGTTCTTCTCTGCTCTTGCAGATTCGCTGTCTAACTTTCACATACACATGAAGTTGAAAATACCATGGGGCTTGGGTCAGACTCATCCGAGTCCTCAAACTGACATCTCTTCTCTTAAGTACTTTAAAGAGGTCTTGTTCATCAGATTTACCCAATGCAATACCGTTTGGTTTATTGACTGCTGTTCCATGGACGTTGATTATAGATCCTAGCAAAATAAAAACTTTGTCAGCTTGGAAGTTGTATCCTGTTTGTTGTTGGGTGCCTTCAGTCGCTTCAAATTCATAGCGACCTTATGCATTAGAGTACAAAACACTGCCTAGTCCTGCGCCAACCTAACAGTTGTTAATCTTGAGCCCATTGCTGCTGCCACTGTGCCAGTCCATCTCGATGGGGGTCTTCCTCTTTTTTGCTGACCCTACCTTTTTCAGACATGATGTTCTTCTGATAACATGTCCAAAGTATGAGAGAGGGAATCTAACTATCTTGACTTCTATGGAGCAATTTTGCTGTACCTCTTCTAACGTAGATTTGTTTGTTTTTTCTCTTGGCAGCCCATGAATACTTACTTCCCTTTTCACTCCCAGGGGTTAAGTTCATAAATGTATAAAAGGATAGAAAATAAATCAGCCGTATGACTACCCCACTTTAGGCCAGCAGAGGGACTTGGTGTTGTCAGGGGTGAAGTGCCTGGGTGAAGTCCATCTGAACGGATGAGTTTCTATGACTTGTGTTTTTTTGACCCCACAGACACATCCTCACACCTGTGTTGCCCTTTGTCTGGTGGACCTCTGAGTGTTTGCGTACCAGGATTCAGCCCTCTTGCCTTCTTCTTCCTGACCCAGGGGATTGCCTCTGGCTCCAGCTGTAGATTGTTAACATTCCAGTTTATAACTCCAGCCTGGGACTGTCCAGAAAACCCCAAACTGTTTTGTACAGTTATCTACTTGATAACTTCTTTTTTGAATGTGTCACAGATTTCTGAAACTTGACCGAAACAACTCTTGCTTTTTCTCTGCTTGCCTCTTCCAACACTAGTTCCTTCCCAGCATTCCCAGTCTTACTGAGTGTCATTACTGAACACACCAGTTTGCCCAAGCCATGAATATGAGAAGGCTTCAGAAAGTTTTTGGGAAAATTCCATTATCTTTTCATTCCAGGTTTCCATGAATTTTTTGACGCCCTCTCCTACTTCATTCTTCTCTTACTCTCATTCCCTGTGTCCTAAACAGGCACCACCTTCTCTGTGTATACTGAATCTCTTCTTTCCTTCTCAGAGTTGCAGCTACCCTTGTCATCTAAACCACTGTCCTCTCTTGTCTGGACCACAGTGCATTAGGTCTCTGCTTCCTGTCTACTCTACCCAGCAATACGGATGATAATCTTTTAAAAAGGCAACCAGATCACAGCACTCCCCTGAGCATCATTCCTTCCTTGGACTCCTGTTGTGCTCAAATCAGAATCTAGACCCTGTTCCAAGATCTCTGCATGGTTGCATCTTTATGTCATTTCAGGTCAGCCTCACACTGTACCTGATTGCACAAATGATTTCAGCCCCTTGACCATAAACAGGCTTTATTTATTTATTTATTTTGGTGGTGGTGCTTGGTAGGCGCTGTTGAGTCGACTCCATCTCATGACAGCCATGTGTACTAGAAGGAAACTTTGCTCAGTCCTGTGCCGTCTTCACAATCGTTCCAATGTTGGAGCCCGTTGTTGTAGTCACTGAGTCAGTCCATCTCATTGCGAGTCTGCCTCTTTTTCTCTGACCCCGTAACAAGCATAATACTCTTCTTTAGGGACTGGTCCCTCCTGCGAACATGTCCAAAGTACGTGAGACAGTCTTGCCATCATTGCTTCTAAGAAGCATTCCACCTGTACTTTTTCCAAGACAGATTTGCTCATTCTTCTGGCTGTCCATGGTCTATTCCGTATTCTTCACCAACATCATAATTCATATGTGTCAATTCTCCATTCTTCCTCATTCTTGAGAACAGGGACCTTGCGTATCTTGTTCATAGAATCTGCAGCCCCTAGAATCCTACTAGGCACTTCTTGGACACTCAGATATGGACTGAGCAAACAGTGAGTGTCCCTCTTTTAAAATGGGTTGGCTTTTCCTTTCTGCCCATCTTCTGTCTTGCACACCCCTACTAGTTTTCCATTTGTTGTTCAAATGCTGCCTATGCTGACATTTTTTTCAAAACATTTTTTACTATTGTAGTGTGTCTTTTTTAAAAAAAATAAATAAATAACAATAATCTAGAGGGTGAATGACCATCCGCTCAGATTGTTGGCAAGATTGTAGATTGGTAAATTTCTCTGAGTTCTGATTATCCCAAGGCATGTTGTGTCTTAACACTTTGTATCACAGCAGTGACAATTGACCTTCAAGAAATCATCCACTGAAAACCTTATAGAGCACAGCTCCGCAGTGACACACACAGGATCTCCGTGAGTTGGAATCAACTTGACAGCAACTCTTTTTTGATTTAATCTTTGTGGTGACGGGTCTTTCCCCATCTGAGAGGACTGAACTCCACAAAGAGAGGGGCTGCCCCTTTCCTTTCCCTATGTGTAGCACCCAGTGTTGAACCTGGAACAATCAGCATCCACTACATTTTTACTAAATTAAAGATCCATCCCCACCTCAGCTATTTGTTTTTCTTTGAACTGAAGCCCAGTTCTCAATTTCTAGATGGCTGTTGTGAAAGGAGGAGTCCTGGTCTGGTGCTGTGGGTTAATGTGTTAGACAACAGTCAGTTTGAACTGCAAGGTCACAGGTTCAAGCTCACCAGCCACTCCTTGGAAACCCTGTACAGGGTCACAATGGGTCAGAACCGACTTGATGGCACTTAACAACAACAATTGTGAAAGAAAGCCTGCTCTGCAAGCCTCAGGAGCACAGACTCAAGTGTGCTGAGCACCTGCTGTGTGCCACCATGCAATATGCTTTTAACTCTCCTATACCTACAGGAGCTCTGGTAGCGTAGTGGTTACGAATCGGGCTGCGAACCACAAAGTCAGCAGTTCGAAACGAATCGGGCTGCGAACCACAAAGTCAGCAGTTCGAAACTACCAACGGTTCCGCAGGAGAAAGATGAGGCTTTCTGCTCCCGTAAAGATTTACAGCCTTGGAAACCCTGTTCGGGGTCGCTATGGGTCGGAACCGACTCGAAGGCACATAACAACAACAACAATACCTACAGGAACCCTGCTGTCTCTCTCCTGTCCGAGAATGCTTCAGGCCACACTGTGGGTGAGTGTGAGTGTTCAAGCTAAGGAGCAGCCTGGCCTCCAAGTCCATGCCTGATCCCTGCACCAGGACTGCCAGGACCCCGCTCTGCCACTCAGCACCCGCGAGCTTGTTCTTCTTGTTAAGTGATGTTGAGTCAGTTCAATCATTATAGGGTTTCCAAAGAGCAGCTGGTAGTTGTGAACCATCAACCTTGTGGTTAGCAGTCCAGTGCTTATCCTGCAGTGCCACAACAGGACTCCCATATGAACTTAGAGCAGCCTTTATCGTGAGTGAGATGATCTCTGGAATCCTATGAAAAACTCACGTCCTCCCAGCCACTCTTTCAGAGAATATTTCTGCCTCATTTTTGGTGTCTAAAAATATCTGAAAGTGATAAGCATTCTAAAATCACATATGAAGGAGATATGAAAAAGGAAAGTAGTAATTGTCTTTCAGTTTTCTTTACTCTCTCATGCCCTTGAGATAACTTTGGGTAGCCATTGGGCGTCTCCTCTTTCACACCTTCTCTGCGGTTATAAAAACAAATCTAAAACCCCTGCAGAGGTGCAGAGGCATGAGTGAGAAACATATGCATATTGTTGTATTTTGCTGGTGGTGGTGGTGGTGGCATCTTTTTTTTAAATAGATTCAGCTTTCTGTGTCCTTTAATTTGCTGTACATATACTCTAAACGAAACATGATTAATTACAACAACAACAACAAAAAAAATCTTTTCAAGAAACCATTATAACAAACCAGATTCCCTATTAACAATAAAAGGTGATCAAGTTTAACAGGCCAAAATAGAAAAAAGGTCTATCAGAATATAAGATGGCCCAAGAAAGCTCTGACCTCAGGTCTCCTATGTTGATCAAGAGTCCTGGCAATACCCCTAGGTGTCAGGGTTGTAAATATGCAGTTACATGCGCTACTGAAGAATGGGCTTGCTTTCCCAGTTAGTCATCCTCTGAACTCTCATTAGACTGTTCATCTGTAGCTACTTGCTAATTTGTGCACTTGTTGGTGCTTTCCTGAATCATGGTTAGTCATAGGAATATGTGAACTTTTTCTCTCTCTTACTCCTTTTGACTTTCTTAGTGTCTCTGTTTTGACTGCCCTCAGAACTGC